TGATTCTTGTTTCTATTTCTTAGTTTTCATCCTGCAGTCTTTTTGGGTTTCTTCAAGTTTCAGACTCTTACCTGCCAATGTGGCTGTTTTCAATTGCCCCATCTTATCTAATCTCCAAGGCAGTATTTTACCACTAACGCCAGCTTTCAGGTAGCTGCCAGATATAACAAGAGCACTCCTAATGAGGATATTTTAGGAGTTAGTGATAAGATAGCCTTTGTTTCTGTTTGTGCATTTGATCTGCATATCCGTCTCTTTCAATGATTGGGAAGAAATCTATTGCTCTCTTTCAGATTGTACTAGTTAAAAACAGTGTGTGTTTCTCAAGAGGACACATTTAATATACCGTAGCTGTCAGTGCTGTAGGTAAATGGGAAAATCTTCTACAGAGGTTTACTTTGCATAAAACGAAAGCTTGATATGTAGATTAGTATGACTTTATTTTGTCGCCAAATACTTGAAAGTCTAGTTTTTGAAAAGGCTGGTATAGCCCATAATATCAATAAATATTTGCCTTTTGTTGTGTTGGTCATACATTTCAGAAATTTGTATTTTTTTACCTATTAATTTTCATGGCTGGTGTTTATTGGTTTAAGAAAGACATTATAAGTACTGGTTTATGAGCAGTGCTGTGAAATGTGCAGGTAAATTCTTGCTAGAATTAGAATTGTGTTTCTAACCAGCTTTGATTTACATAGTTTTAATCATGTAATACACAACAGTCTTCGATGCTTCTACTTTAAAAATCTAACTTTATGTGCCCTGTGTTTAGAATTAAGCTGCATGTTGAAAGAAAGCTTTGGTGGTTTTAGAAAAGTTGGCTTTACAATATTATGTACTTAATTTTTATTGGAATAATCTCTATAAAAATAGTGACTATGTATCTCTTGTGGTTATATCTACCTGTCTATCTAGCTGTATATTTTCTCTCCTTTATATTTCTTTGATTGATACTTGTTTCTTTTGCCCATTCTTTTATACAGGTTGGGCGTCTTTTTGGATATTTTCCAAAGGATTTAATCAAGGTAGTCCAAGAGTATACTAAAAAAGAGCTGCAAATTCCATCAGAGGTAAGTTGTGGATTTTTTTGGTTCTCAATTACAATTGGCTTACAAATTCATCAGCTGTTGACTACAGTTAGGCCCTCAATGTCATCGATAGGTTCTTTGACTTTAAGCAAAACGACATATAACGAAGCCAGGTTTATCATAGGTTAATGGATATATAAGCAAGAGTTAAGTCTCTATGGCATCTCATTAATGTTATAAGGAAATGACACTGAATGAGATGTTATTCAAGGACCTGCTGTATATTTTAATGTGTTTTGGTAAAAAAAAAAAAGTTAACATTTGTGTACCAGATATTAATTTAGAATCAGATACCTTTAAAATAGAAAAAAGAAAAGTTTGAAGAGAATTTACAGGAGACTATGTCATAATCTGATAGTTCTACAGGGAAGCAGGGCGTCTTATTCAAGGCTGTGTACTCTTGTACAGGGTTTTTCTTAGCTGTTTTATATGAGAAAAATTAAGAATTCAATATCCTTGCATTTAGTTGTTAAATTTAAGGGGTAAATAATTCTTTTTACAAGCAAAATGAGGTGTCTCAATTTGAAAACTACTTAATGAATAGCTATTAGAGAGTTTCAGTGTATAGCAATTAGGTTCAATTGATCAAACCCTAAATTATGTACTAGGCCAGAAATGCAAATTTACAAGGGTTTTCTTATAATTGACTATTTAGTGATTTAAGGGATGATAGTTATATTAGAGATTTGGAGAAGGGAACGTGAGAGTTTCAGATGAAGTCCTGTTGCAAACCTACAAGGTACCGACTGCACATTCCATAAAGCACTCATCTAGGGTACACTGACTTAAAATAACTTTGTGAAGACAAGGGTTTTGTGTTCTGGGATCCTCATTCAGCTGATTATTTTCTAGAGTTTTAAAGTTTGTAATAATCAATGCCCACCTTCATTCAGAAATCTTGGAGCAGCTCTTTGGAGATGCCACAGAGCATGCTATCTGCTGGCCCAGGGCAGTTCTTAGATGAGACGGGCAGAAAGGATGAAGTCTTAGAGCCATTGCTATTCTTAACATTTCTTGATCATCCCAAGGGCCATACAATGAGCCCTGTTGCTTGTTTGGCCTCACTTCTAATGAAGAGACTTCCGGGCTATAAGTGTGAGTGAGACAGCAGTTCATTCGTCACAGGGACCTCGCTGGTTTGGGATTGTGCCCTCTTGTTGCCTCACCATTGCATGCTTCCCTCAATATTCAGAAAATGGCTTAGAAAAGAGGCAATCACTCATTCCTACTACACTGCTCAGGTCTCCCCAGAGTAATGTAAAAGTTTAGTCAGGAGAAGAAAATGACCTTTGTCGGTTTTTTAACTTTTCCCTCTGTTTATGGCCCTTTTATGTCAATTTGGTTTTTAATGAAGGAAAGGGAGAATATAGATTTATAGACAGCTCTGAAAGCAAATCTTAATGACATCAAGAACCCTGATTTAGAGTAGAGTATATCCCTCACTTAATCTTGTTTTGAAGTTATACTTGTGGTAATAATTAAGTGGGGAGCTCCGTTGACACCATTCTTTGTTCCTTTAAATTTTTACTCCGCATGCACCTCTATTTCAATAAGATACTTTTTGAGCTGATATATCTTTCCCCATCCAAGGAATATATGAGCCCCAAATCTGGGTAGACTTAGCGTCTGACAGCAGGGTGATTCTGCCTGTTTCTAGCTGGGTAAGCAGAGGAGTATTGCCGAGGGCAGGGGGACTGAGAAACTGGATGGTCTTCTAGCATCTCCCAGACAAATTACTATGTAGTGAATCCCCAGACCATCAGGCACAGATGTTGGAAGTTGGGGGACCCAATCAGTGATACTCCACTTTTCCCCAGCTGTGCTCAGAACAAGTTTAGAGAACCAAGAATCAGGCAGATGGACACCAAAATGTCACCATTATTTACTGATAAAGCTTTTTGGCCAACATGGCTCAAGTTTGCAGAAATAATGGGCTTTCAAACACTGCAGTCTAGAATAAGACAGACTAATCCAGCTACAGGCAGAGCTAGGTAACGGGGGGGCCTCCCCAGAAGGGACTGTCCATGTACAACGGACAGCATGGAGGAGAGAGGATGTGTGTCCCCTCCTGCTGGCCCCAAACAGGAAACGGATGGTGCAGGGCAGACTCGCCAGCCACATGAATCATCTCTCCCTGGGGAAGAGAGAAAGAAGGGAGGCCAGGAGCTCTTCCTCAGGGAAGCACGAAGCCAGGGAAAAGTGGGTTCCAGCTTCCTATCTCCTGACTACCCAAGAACAGTCATTGCCCAAGGTTGGCACGAAAGACCCTCCAGAGCCAAACGTGAATTTGAGGTTATCTCTGTCATTAGCATGGGTAAGAGTTTGCTCTTGTGACACGTGGCTAGTGACACACTAATGTTTTTCTTTCCCTTATAGGACACAGATTTTGTTTGTTTTGAAGGGGGAAGAGATAATTTTGATAATTANCCCCCGTTTTCCCGGGGGCAGCTCCCAGCGTCCGCTCCACCCGCCCGCCCGGCGCGGAGCCGAGATGGGGTGAGCGCGGCGCGTCCTGGGCTCCCCACGCTGCCTCCCAGCGCTTTCCTGCCCCCGCCGCGGCGACCTCGGTGGGTGCAGTCCGGGGGCAGATGCGCCCGGAGCTCGGCGGGTGGATTCTCTGCGGCAGGTTGATGGGGGGGCTCGGGAAGCTGCCCCTTCGCCCTCTGCTTCACTCGGATTTGGGGCTTATACAGATATTGGAGTTTAGGTCTGGGACGAGCGCGGAATCCAGGCGAGCAGTGTATTCCCAGTCTCCACCCCGGCTCTGCCTCCATCCTGTCATTTCTGTGCTTGGAAGTCCTTGCAAGCAGCCAGGCAGGGAGAGCAACAGCAAGGCCGAAAAAATCTTTGGTTCTGGAAAGAGGCTGAGGATATGAATCGGCCACCTGGGACCATCAACCTCCTCTTTTTTTGCGCAGGAAGCGGAATTGTTCCCATCTTGGATTGGGGGTGGGAGCGAGTGGAGAGCTGAGATCTCATACTCAGATGAAGAGGATTATTAAAGTAACAAGAATAAATACTCCAAGGATTTTATAAACCCATCCAGCTTTAGCCTTAGTCAGTTGTGTCGTTGGAATCTCTTCCTAGGTGTCTGCCGAACCAGGACCATTCTTACAGCCTCCAGGCTGGTCTTAAATAACCTTGTAACTTAATTGATTACCGCTTTGGAATCGGTTGTTCATAAATGGTAATTGATACATATTGAAAAACTATTCCTTCTGGAAAGGCCATAAGCCTATAGTTGAGCCATTTATATTCAAGTTGGTGTTATTCAAATACAAATTACATAACTTGAAGAGTTTGTATCACTGCAACACCATTACATTAAAGAAAAGAAAGGAGGCAATCTTTGATTTGT